CTCCTGCCTCAGCCTCCCGAGTAGCTGGGACTACAGACGCCTGCCGCCTCGCCCGGCTAGTTTTTTGTATATTTTAGTAGAGACGGGGTTTCACCGTGTTAGCCAGGATGGTCTCGATCTCCTGTCCTCGTGATCTGCCCGTCCCGGCCTCCCAAAGTATTAAGGATATTTTTAAATGGGAAAAATGTATTCAAGAAATTCTGAAGGTTTTTTTTCTTTTCAGAAATATTCCCAAGAGATTCTAACTTAAAAGACAAATTCATAAAGCATTTCACAGGTAAGTACAAAATTTATCAGTGATTCCATTAACTAAATAAAAAGAATGTGTGCAGGTTACTATGTCAGGCACTAGGGATATGAAAATAAATGTCTGTAAGTGACTCATGGTCCAGTTGGGGAGATGGACGGTTGCTACTAACTTGTGTTAACTGTAATGTAAACCAGCCCTTAATAAGTAATAGAAGTATGAACCACTTTTTAAGGATACACGGGAGGTGAATAATGTCACCAAGAACTACCACGAAGGGCTTGTAGTAGACACAATATTTAAGGTGGGCTTTAAGGGATGAATAAGGCTTTCCCGTGGTGAGAGAGACCTTCTGTTCAGAAAGAGTGCATTGAGTAAGCCATGACGGCACAGGGTGTGGTTTAGGCAAGGACAGGTGTGCATGGACTGTGGGTGGGCTTAGGTATGTGGGGCGTATGTGGCCCTGGTCAAGTATATGGCTGGAAAGGTAGCTTGGAGTCACGTTGTGGATAATCTTAAATGGCATGCTGGGGAATTCAGACTATGTTCCCCAGTTTGGTGGGGGGTAGGGAGAGAGGGGGCAATAGAAATTTTTTGAATAGGGAGGGACAGACTTTCATATACTACATCTTTAAAAAATATATTTGTTTATTAATTATTGTTATTATTTTCTGAGACAGAGTTTCGCTCTTGTTGCTCAGGCTGGTGTGCAGTGGCGTGATCTCGGCTCACTGCAACCTCCACCTCCCGGGTTCAAGCAATTCTCCTGCCTCAGCCCCCCAAATAGCTGGGATTACAGGCATGCACCACCACGCCTGGCTACTTTTTTTGTATTTTTGGTAGAGATGGGGTTTCACCATGTTGGTCAGGCTGGTCTCAAACTCCTGGCCT